GCCCTGGATTCTTTCCACTATGTCACACAATTGTCTAATGTGTAGCTAAAATTTAGGTAAACTATACTTAAAGCAATACTTGATCTACTGGTAAAGCAACCCCATTCTCAAAGTAAAGTCTTTTTTAAGCTGTTCTTGAAAAGCCACGTCTACTTTCTTTGATAAACGCTTTCCTTTAAAGATATTCATTAGCCATCCTTTTAATAATGTATTCTGGTTGTACTTGGTTCCTATTTATTTCTAGTTTCTGTGATTACAACCATTCCCACACAAGCTAAGATTGTGGTCTCGCTTTGGCCCTATGAAGATCAAAAGGGAACAAGAAATTATTTTTCATTAAAAACAAACAAACAAACATCTATTGCTCTTCTAAGAATTTATACTCAATTAAAGTAGCTGAATTCTTTGGGAAGAGAGATGCTATATGCAGCATTATATTACTGTCATCAGGATCAGGCAAATGAGTTGAATGCATGAATTTAGCATTAGGCCCTAGAAATTCACAAAATGGGGCTATGCTAATTCAAAAGAGAAACTATTTTTTTTTTAACCCACAACAAATCATTTCCCCAGGAGGTAAATGGGCAATTGAAAGAAGAGTCAGTTTCTTGAGAATCTCAGGAAGATTTTGAGCACAGTGAAGGGAATGAGGGGAGGTACGACAGAGTGAGTGATCCACAATTACTCACATTTTCCACTTCCTGCCAGGATAACACAGACAGTGCTCCATACAAACAAACTTACTGCTGGCTCAGTTCTTCAGAAAGCTAGGAGAATCAGGCCAATTACTTCTGTCCCTTTGGGAAGACTACTGTTTATTCTTCCTTTCTTCTCATGTTTTGATCCCCTACCCCCCTTCTTTTCTCCTTTCATTTTTACAAGAAGCACATCACATGGTCATTCAAAGACCCTTCAGCTACTCTCACCACTGTCTCTAGGGAGTCTTGTGACTTTGAGTGATACGGGAAGGACTGCACTCCAATGGATAACTAAATTTTATTTTCTAAACTACAGGTAAATTAACATAGAGATTCACAGGGCCTATTAAACTGTCACCTTTTAACTTGTCTGATGCCTTTTAGTTTCAATTTCAACATCCTGTACTTTATTTCCTTTCTCTGGTTAACCAGGGTAAATGAGATGAACTATGTTTTTAAATCTTTATTAAACTGTTACTATAACTATAAGCCAGAGAACAACTGGGAGAGGATGCATATACTAACCTAAAATAAACAGATAAGGCTGGTAATAAAGCATTATTTTTGATTTATTGAATCTTAGAATTCTCTTGGGTCACTTTTTTTTTTTTTGAGGCAATCGGGGTTAAGTGACTTGCCCAGGATCACACAGCTAGTCTATGACTGGATTTGAACTCTGGTCCTCCAGACTCCAGGGCTGGTACTTAGATCACTTATTATGAAAGCTGCATAACCACAGTTAATCAATAGCCTTATGTCATTAAAGTTGTCACAAAAGAAACAGGGCATTGGAAAATCACGTTCTTAAGACTAAAGTCTTAGGGGCAGGTAGGAGGTGCAGTGGATGGAGCACTGGTCCTGGAGTCAGGAGGACCAAAGTTCAAATTCAGCCATAGACTAGCTGTGTGATCCTGGGCAAGTCACTTAACTCTGCCTCCAAAACCTCCCCCCAAAACAAACAAACAAAAAAAACCCCTAAAGCCTTAAAACACAATTTGCCTAGTTTTTCCCTGCCATAGGATTGTAGGACTCAAAGCTAGAAGTAATCCTTAAGAAACCGAGGAGAGGAAGTCAAACATAGAGGAAAGAGTATTGGCGTCAGAAGACCTTGTTTTAAGTTCTGGTTCTGCTACTTACTAGCCATTTATCCTTGCTCTGTCACTAAACCTCTGAGCTTGAGTCTATAAAATGAGGATGGATTTCAGAGTTGGAAGGCCCTCAAGAACCATATAATCTTACTTATTCCTGAAAAAGAATTTCTTCTACTACATGCCCAACCAGTACTCATCCACTTTTGCCTGAATACCTCTAAAGAAAGGGAAGAGACTAGTGCCTGAGGCAGATATTCTGGGACAGCTCATATGGTCAGCAGGAAGTTTTAACTCACATAAGACCTAAATCTGTCTCTTTATGACTTTCATCCAGCTCTAAAGTCTGTCCTTTGGTATCAAGTAGAAGAAATCTAACACATCTTCCAGGTGACAGCTTTCCATATATTTGAAGAAGGTTATCATGTCCCTCCGAGGTCTGGTCTTCTACAGGATGAATATCCCCAGTTCCTTAAATAATCTTTACATGGCATGAACTCAAGGTATTATAATCATGACACTACCTGATAGGGTTTCCGTAAGTAAAATAAACTGAAAACTAATTAGTATTATACAAATGTGTACTATTAATTCTTATTATGATAAGCATTATACAACCTGCACCCTTGGTTCCCAAGAAGGTGCTCTGGCATCCTTGGGTACCATGAAAATCTGCATGGGTTACTATGGATTCTCTTCTGGGAACTCTGCTATTCCTTGCTACAAACAGCAAGTGATCAACCCAGCCAAAAGATCATAGTTCTAAGAGCTGGAATGGACCTCAACAGTCATTTAGGTCTAATCTACTCATTTTGCAGATGAGAAAACTGAAGCCTCTTTGGGCACAGAGCTCAAGTTGTACTCCCTTTTGGGACTGAACAGCATGGACTTTTTATTTATGTTGGGTTTTTTTTTTTTAACAAGACAATATGCCAATGAAAAACAAACATGGAAACCAGAGAAAGACATTACAGTACATCCCCTAGACCCTAACCATTCATTGTTACTATTTAATTACACTGTATTTATCCAGGAGATGGGCTGGAAAAGCCCCACAGAAGTCTAACTTTTTTTAGAAACAGTGAAATATCCTGAAGCCTGGGAAAGAAGGTAGAAAAATGAAAGGGCTAAATAATGGCTATCCAAGAAGTTCACCATTTATCATATATCATTGATCATTTAGCAGAAATTTACTTAGTATGTCATACTGAGGTACCATATAAATATTTTGAGGTAATCTAATCTAGATCAATGTCTGGTATTCAGGGGGTAAAGCAAAATCCATATATTTTTACTAAGAAATGACATACATCCAAAGTAATGCCTGTCATCTTTAAATTAATAACTAGGAATTCTGCCTGAAAACAAGAGCTTTACATACATGACTTCATTTGATGATAACAACAATCCAGTGAGGTGGGTATTACAAGTATTATTATCCAATAAAATAAGGCAAGAGAAGTGACTTCCCCAAGGTCACTAGATGATCCTCAAGGTCTCTTTCAGCTATAACCCTCTACAAGTCTGAGTAAGTGTTCAGACCAGAATTTTAACTAAGGCTTTCTCATTTCAAATGTAAACGTCTTTCCATGATACCATATCAACTTTTTAAGAGCTCTGAACCAAGAACTTTGAAATCATAATAAAGCAAATCAGTTACCTCTATCAATAAATAAAATGGTTCTTCTGAATGTGGACTGCTTTTTATCCTGAGTCAAAGATGGCCTCCTTCCACGGTCCTAATTTGTTATAACATTTAACTCTCTCTTAAACTATGTGTTATAGCATAAAGGGAGCTGAGAAGAATAAGTGCAAAGAGGAGGGAGATAAGGAGAAATCAAGCCTAATGTATCTTGAAAGAGGCTTGCTACAACCTCCCTCCCTGGATCTATAGAGAGCTCACATCATAATGCAAAAATGAAACTTGGTAGAATTCACCCCCATTCCTTCTTCTAAACATGCTAACAGTAGTCACATCAAGAGCAGCATCAGTGTATTAACTCTTCTCAATGCTACTTTCAAGTTGACTGTTGAGCTTCTAGTGCTAATATCGTTTAGAAAAAAATGACCTCTTGCTTTCTATTTTATTCCAATCCTAACTGGAACTTTTAATTTAGCTATCACGGTATCTTACGCTTGTGCCAATGAATTAAGATCCCATCCACCAAAATCGCCAATGGACCACAAACTGAAAACCAGTTTCAGGCCACTGGGTAAAGTCCACAGGGACCAACTGTGCCTGGATAATGCTTCTTTGTATCTCTTACAGTTCCCAGCACCAGTAGATGGCACTTCAATATGCATCTTTTAATGGACTTTCACTTCAACTGCTTGAGCCCCCACTGTGGCTAAATTTTAAGGTAAATTTAATCTGTTTGCAGCCACCCAAATCCCACTCTCATAGACAGCTACAATTTTAGCCCTTAGTAAAAATAACAAAACTTGAGACCAACTTATCTGTTTTCCTATAAGGCCAAAAAAAGGCACATAAAGAGAAATAACTAAACCTAAGTTTCCAAAGATCATATGTTCCAGAAACCTTCAGCTCTGCATAGATGCTGTAGTTATATTATCAATCTCATATTGTAGCATCTCTTTACCGAAGAATGAATATCTACATCCATTGCTTACCTCAGACAACCAGCTTGGTTTTCAAGTCTGGTATTAGCTGGTGATATCAAAGATAGCAAAAAGTAAATAACAGACATTTTTTAGTTGTAAGTCCTACTGGAATATGAGCTCTAAAATGAAATCTATGTTGTCTTTGCCCCAGTTAGCCAGCAAAGTCTCTTCTTTCCTCTGATAAAATTTTTTTTTCAGGAGAAGTAAGGAAGACTTAATATCTTAGTGTATCATCTAAATACCTGGAATCACTCAGCAGTCAATCTTAGCTTAAAGGCAGGTTTTAATACACAACAGGAAGACAATATGGTGCACACATGCTTAAGGTATTATTAGAATTAACAAACTAGCTGGCTGTTACCATTTGCTGACGATAAATTAGTAGAAATGTGTAGTCTTTCTTTTAAAGTTATCAAAGGAACAATTAGAATACATAGCTGCATCTAAGAAAATAAAGTATAAAGGGCTAAATCTTCACTTACATAATTTCTGAATAGATAAGAAACCAAAACAGGACACCTCCAAGAAGCCTTCCTCCCCAGGGGATCTCCCTCATGCAAGGTCATTTCAGAAAGAGAAGAAAACTGCTTACTTGCACATGTGTAAGCATCTTTGTTGGTGAAAGCTTTCATACACTGGCTGCAACTGATTGGCCCCACAATAGGGATGGAAGCAAACGTATGTCCGTTCAACGTCTTCTTGTCCTTCTCCTTCTCTTTGGAATCTTTATCTTTCTCCTTAATCTTGTCTTTGTCCTTCTCCTTCTCCTGTCAAAGGAAAGAGCCGTTAGTTGTACATTAGGTGGCATTCTCACTAACTTACGCCTTAGAAGTCTGGAAGGTGTTTTGTGGAGAGGTAAAGGGTAGCTAGGTGGCGCGGTGGATACTGTCACACCTGGAGTCAGAAGACTCGTCTCTGAGAGTTCAAATGTGGCCTCAGACATTTATTAGCTGTATAACTCTAGGCAAGTCACTTAACCCTGTTTGCCTCAGTTTCCCACATGCCTGGCATATAGTAGGTGCTTAATAAACATTTGTTGATTAACTGATTCTACCAAGCAGAGCTGTAACTAGGGAAGGGCTTTCCCTGGAAGGAAACAACACAGCAGGCCAGCACAAACATCCCATCTCTCTTTTTTTTCCCCCATGTCTCTTGTACAGAACAGATGGCTACCATAAGGTTCTTCCCTTTCCTTCCTTCCAACCCACCCCTATCAATGTCTGCTGACTCCCTCCATCCTATGTCTCCTCACAGGCTCAAGGACCCCTAGCTGTGCCATCAGTCAGACATTCTGAAGAATAAGGCACCTCCTATATCAGCATGCCTACACCAGAAGATTCGTCCATTTCCTCCTTACTGGTCCTGGGCACAAGAACTCTTAGTTGCAGTTCTCAAGGGGCAAAAGTTCTAGTCAGTTGCTGCTCACCCAGGGAAATGTCATAGCTGATTCCTCCCCCTCCTTAGGGCCCTTAGGCCAGAAAAGACCTGGGGTTAGGGCTGCCTTACAAATCATAACCTAACCTTCATATGAATAAAAATGCAGAACGGAGACTGATACTAGGGCAGTATCTAGTGAAAAGAGGGAAGGATAGGAAAGGCAATACCAAGAACATATCAAGTATCAGCCTGGTATGACCTGCATCCTCTGCCTCTCTGCTATCCCAGTCACTCCCTACCAACCAGCAAGAGTCAATGGGAGTAAGACTAGTTTTTAAATAAAGTATAAATATCTCAAGGACAGCTTAGAGGAAGCTGTCACATGTTAAAATGAGTGAATGTAATTGGACTTATCTATTGTTGGGAGCAGCCTATAGTACAGAAACAGGAGCCTTCATTTTGGGAGGATATGAAGAGGTAAGCTTGGAGCATGAGGCAGAATTGAAGGGGGGCATGCCCAAGTCGAGTGTGAGAATAGGAGTTTTAGGCAGTTAGAGGCAGCAGAAAAGCCCTGTGTATCTGAGGAATAAGAGAAGAAAATAATATGAAATGTCACTCAAAAGGGTTAAGAGGATGCCTTAACAAGGGTAGCTAGGTGGCAGGTTTTTCAAATCTGGCCTCAGATACTTACTAGCTGTATGACCCTGGTCAAATCATTTAATTTAACCCTATTTGTCTCAGCTTCCTCATCTGTTAAATGACCTGGAGGAGGAAAAAAGTAAACCACTCTAGTATCTTTGCCAAGAAAATCCCTCATGGGGTCACAAAGAGTCTGATGCGATTGAGCAACAACAAAGAGGACATCCAAAGGTGATATTACCTACCTAGTGATTTTACATAGGCCAAATTTTCCTTTTTAATTTTCCTTTCACCTGGGAGTTGGTCCCTTCTTTTGGAAAATAGGTCCCAGTAGGGAAGGGAGACTTTCTTGTCCTTAGCATTCAACTGTAATGGTAGGAAGAAATGGAGGACAAGGAGACTAAATTTACTTCTTGAGTCTTAGGAGATTTTAGGCCATTCCACAAATTTGCTGCCTGACTGTACTTGAGATGGTCCCCATTCTTGATCCCTTAGTGGCCAAAGTCAATGAATTCTTTGGCAAAGCAGGCAATGCTTGGCCCAGGTTGCATCTAGTAAATAGGAGATGTGTATGGAGTTGTTGCATCTGAACCTTCATAAGGTGCTATGTGGATGAGACTTGGAAAAGTTAAGACTTGCAAAATTCTTTGAGTTCCACTAAGGTTCAAAATAAAGACAATTCCTTTCAATATAAATCTACAATAACAACATAACAAGGATCTGTTTTATGCATATGCCTGTTTTGGCACTAATGCAATATACTTCGAAGAAATTCACTAGATGCTAGGCCCAAATTCTCATTGAGAAATGGCTTTTATTAAAGTTATACTAGTAAGGACATTTTCATTGTAAGAAAAACTATCACTATGTTTATGTGAATACTACTAAGGTCTACATTGCAGTCTTTTAGATTTAATTGTGGCATATGACTGCCCTTTAAAAAATTTTCACTTGGAACCCCCTAAGTCCTTCCCTCCTCCTTTTTTTTCTCCTCAGATCTGACTTTACTGATAACAGATAGAACAAAATGCCAGACACATCATCAGGAAAGTTATTAATAACAAAACAATATTCTCTCCCTTTGCTTAAAACACAAAACAGGGCAGCTAGATGGCGCAGTGGATAGAGCACTGGCCCTGGGATCAGGAGGACCTGAGTTCAAATCTGACCTCAGACACTTGACACTTAACTATCTGTGTGACCCTGGGGAAGTCATTTAACCCCATTGCCTAGCAAAACAAACAAACAAAAAAACCACAAAACAAATCTACACCTAGCGTATTTTGAATGGTGTTCTGTTCTTTCCACCTTAAGAATTTTCCTGGGAAAGGTCAGGAGAAAGGCAATTAAATGACTCATAAGAGAGAATGGTGCCTCTAAATACTGGGGGCACTATGTGACTAAAGAAGTTTTCATGATAATACACACCACCAAAATTAGGAGGAAATATCTGATGGGTATTAAAAAAGAGAAATTAATAGAAGATAAACTTTTAACAGGTTATTATAGGACAACAGTAATTTATGGTATAGAACCATAACCTTTTGAGGTTGACACCACGAAGGTCATCTGTACTCTCGAGACTAAATTTTCCTTGATGTTATTGTCAGAGACAGAACACTCATCTAGATGAACCAATGGTTTACCAATACATCACATTTCACAAATAAATTTGAGAGACTTAGATAAGCTATATTGGCAGTTATATGGGAATTAATATGAACTTAAAGATCATCTATATGGTGCCATATGCCACAATAGAACTCCAAAGACATATATAGTCTTTCTCTTAACTCCAAACTTTCTTTTAACTACTGGAATTGTTGGGAGACTCTTTTCTTTAGTATGGGGATTTTTGTATATGTAAGCCTAGGTGTTGCAGTGGGTATTTGCTAAAAGTGGATGTTAAAAACAATACATTTAAACAATAGTAAACTGGAGAAAGACTGAAATACATAGTTTAGATAATTTTTTTTTGTTGATTATTAGGGTACATTTAATGGAAATTCAGAGAGCACAGTGACACCATGGAACAAAACTACAAATAAAAATGCAATGTGAATTAAAAAAAAAGATAAATTGCCTCAGTTACAAAACAGGAAACTGCTCTGAGGAGGAAAAAAAAAGTAATTTCCACCATACATATAAATGTAATAAAAATAGACAACTTTAAAAATGGTGTCACTTTATAGAATTTTCCTCTTTTCCCACAATTGTATGTTTTAGTGTTTCTCCACATGCAAATGTTGAAACAAAAAAAGCATCCCCACATACACTGTTCTCAAGAGCTACAGGATATATACAATTAAAAGTTATAAAACATTTGCCATGGCAACTAGCTGTTCATATTCTTGCAATGACGCAGTACCGTTCAAACTTTAAAAACTAGTTTCTTCAGCCTCTACTCTTCCCAATACTCCCCCAAAAGGTAAGTTTTCTTCCAAGAATCAGAAAATCCAAGCTCCATGTCTTCCCTTTATGTGCTTATTAGATTTTTGTGTTAAAAAAAAGTCAGGCTCTTACCTCCCCATGTTTTGGTCCTATAAATCTCACTGTTATGAGAGGGACTTCATGAAACCGACCCCACTTTACCGACATAATTCTCCCCTAAGAACAGGAAATCTGCTCCCTGAGAAGGAGGAGCTCATGCCTACAGGACGGAGCAGATCGGCTTCAGGCTGCCATTAGAGAAAGTGTAAGAGGAAGCCAGAGACTGGTTGAGAAAGAGACAGAGGGAGGGTTGATAACAGCCTGTTTCCTTGAAGACAATCTTAACTATTTGGATGCTGCTAGTAACAACGTTTAAAAATGATATGGGAACTGAAACAAAACTAATTCTCCCCAACATCTCTCAAGTTTGGAAAGACAACTGGGTCTGGGTTTTAAAACTGATGATCACTTTAAAGAATCTCTTTGAACCAAATGCTTCATTTTATAAAACCAGTGATTCCCTTAGGAACACTCTTAGTGAATCATCTGGCTTTGGGAAAGGAGTAATCTATTTTTTTTTCTAAATCTGACTTTTCATATGGTTACTTAACTTTTTCATCTGCCAAACTTCTATATTTTGAAATTAAAAAAAATCTCTTCCCTAGGAAACTGTTAACAGTATTTGAAAAGATATGAACATAACCCCACTAAGATGACAGTGGAGGAAGGTATTTTTTTTTTCTTTTTAAAAAACAAAAATGATCATGATTATGAATCAGGAAAACTTAAAACCTCTTCCATTTGGTTGTGATGAGCAATTCTGTCATATGGTGAATATTATAAATGAGAGAATGAATGAGTGAATTTGTTACTACATTTAAACACTAGTTTAGCAAGAGGCAGTGTATTATACTGGGTACAGCACTGGACTAGCAGCCAGATCTGATTCTAGCCCTAGATCCTACAGTAATTCACTGGGTGATCTTGTGAAAGTCATTTTAGATCTCTCAGACTCAATTTCTTCCCCTGTAAGATAAAGAGGTAGGACTGAATGATGTCTAAGGCTGTTTCTATGTTGACAGTCTGATTTTACTGCATCATTTTTCAAATACTCATCCATCAGAGTGACAACCTGGTAGACACCAGCCTTAATTGCATTCATGCCTCTTTAGGAAAGCATGTGTTAGAAGAAATGAATGACTTGTCTTAAAATTACCAAGTGTTTCACTGAGAGTTCTCTACTCCAGGTATCTTGTTTAACCTCAACTAAAAATGTCTTCTTATAATTTTCATCTCTTTATCATCAGTGGAAGGGGAAAACTGAGATTTCTACAGATATTAAAAACCAACAACAAATGTTATAGGCTTTTCAGTACTTTGAGTCAAGTAAAAGTAGTCTGGAGGAAATTGTATGTAGAATTCTTTCTCAAAGATCACCAAAGACAGAAGCTGTAATCGGGTCTTCTTCCTGCTATACTTCCTGTTTAAAGTATTATCTGCCTCTTTGAAATCTTGTGCTTTTTCTAATGACTTTGTCAATTTTCATTACCAAGGAAATATTAAGGATTCACTGATTCAGCAAATCAAGTTAGAGTAATTAATACGTGTTTACATATTAACATTTTTTAACAAAAGAAAACCAAATAAGACTCTTCTAAGTAGAAATCCCCAAACAACCTCTAAAGATCTTTTAAAGCAATCTTAATGAATACTATTTATGTTGATAAAGCATTTTAAGATGACTTTTAATATTATCACTCATCACAAAAGGCTGTTAATACATGTTATTTTTTTGAACTTATTTTACAGATGATGAAAGAAATGTCAAACAGACTAAAGAAAAGGATGACTACATAAGCCCATTTAAAAAGTGATTTGAATGAAGTGACCTTCCTTACATTTCAGAATATTAGTGGCAGGCTCAGAAGTGGGATATTCAGATAATGATTTTCTATTCCCTTGCTTGGACTGGGAAAAAGGCATGCTGCTTTTTTTATAATGCTGGAAATAAAGTCACTGCTGCTGGAGAAACCTATTTTCATTTAGAGAAATAACTCCTGAATGGGTGACCTCTGACCAAGATGCATAGCACCCAGACACTTATAAAAGTACAGTACTTAGAAAGCCCTATATCTACTCATCATATTCTTCCCACTATCAACTTGTTTGGAGGGGGAGAGAGGCAACAGTGAGTTCCCTTGGCAGGCAGCATACCTCGTGCAACCTCTGAGCTGGTCAATAAGTAATTACGAAACACTGTCTTGCAAATTCCTAAATTTACTTGGTGTACAGGAGACTATATAGAAGCCTGATAATATTCTGAAAGGGCAGGTAACCCTGAGCTAGGTATTTCCTTTATGATTGTGTTTAAGACTTTCCACTGCTTGAGGCAGCCTGGCCTCTCTGATGACCACACAGTGAAGACGTACACATCTCTAAGAGGAACTTAAGTCAATTGCACAATAGTGTTGTAACTTCCAGCAAGGCAACAGGTCAACCAATGTCTTATTTACTCAAATGGTTTCTGACAAAGACGATACAGACTTTGTTCTAGCGTAATTCTTCGTCCTCCCCACCACTCCACCCCCTATTTTCAATCACCTAACAATGCTTTTATGGAGATAAAACAATGCTTAGCAGCAATGAGATTTTATCTTAAACGGAAACTAGGCTAAAGTACAAAGAGAACTGGGTTCTAGCCTCAGTTCTGCTACTGACTTAGCTGTAGAGGGCCAGGCTAGTCCCTTCAGCTCTCTAGAACTGTTTGCTCACTTATAAAACAAGGGAGTCATTAGAGTGAGGGAATTTATCAAGTCTTCCTTAGCTCCGGAATCTGCCTTGTACTATTTGCTACTGTTTCACACATTTTATGACTTTTTTTTTACCAACTTCACGGAGAAGGGCACAGTGATGAGAAGGCACTCAATAGGTGATTATTAACTGACTGGAAAGTGACCAATCTCTCTTCAGATCCAGACGCCTTTGAAGGGCACTTTCCAGTTATATATTCAGGTCATTTGGCTATTGGGCTGAACAACAGGCCTTGTTCTCAGCTCTACTACCATGAAGATCTATTCCCTTCTTTAGGTAACTGCAAATTATAGCTAAGTATGTAGATAATATCTGATAATTCTGATTATTGAGGTCCTTTGCGCGCGCGCGCGCGCACACACACACACACACACACACACACACACACACACACTGTTTCACTGGTTTTCTGCTTTTCTAGGTGGTGTAACAGATAAAGTGCTGGGCCTGGAGTCTGGAAGACTTAGTCACTTCTAGCTGTATGACCCTGGGCAATTTACTTAACCTGTTTGCCTCAGTTTCCTCATCTGAAAAAATGAGCGTCACAGCACTTACCTCCCAGGATGTCTGTGAGGATCAATTGAGATAATAATTATAAAGTGCTTAGCACAGTGCCAGGCACATGGTAAGCACTATATAAATGTTAGCTATCATCACCATCACCACCATTATTGTTATCACTCATGTGGTCAGAGAAGAGGAATGAGGATGAAATTTCAATCATTTTCTTTTGCTTATGAGCAAAAGATATGCTATTCTTGGAGTATTGTATCTTTTCTTTTCTTTTTCTTTCTTTGCTTAGGCAATTGGGGTTAAGTGACTTGCCCAGGGTCACACAGCTAGTAAGTGTCAAGTGTTTGGTCTGAGGTGGATTTGAACTCAGGTCCTCCTGACTTCAGGGCTGGTGCTCTATCCACTGTGCCACCTAGCTGCCCCAACTTTTCTTAATAAATACTAAAAATAGGGCAGATTTGGTTGCTACATCTCCACAAATCTACCTGTTCAAGAGCATGAACCATTCAGCACAGATTTAACGCATGGGTCCTTAAGTTAGTCCTTGCCTTTTGGCTAGATTTTCAGGTGAATGGGAGGCCCATTTGTTTTGGAGGTCACTTCTCTCCCTAGGCAATCTCAGATCAATAATTGAGCTGATTTAAGGACTTTTGCAAATAAATTTCCAAAATGGATTTTTTGGAGAATTTGGAATAAAGCAAAGTGAAAGAAATGAAGCAGAAATTTCAATAGTAAGCACTGGCTTTTATCTGTTGAATAGCAGGGAAAATTTCAAGTAAATTAAATTACTCTTTATTTTTGGCTTTCAATATTTTTAAAACACTAAATTACTGGCATTGGCACTGTTTCATTGGGAGCCAAGAGTAAAAGTAAAATAAACCACATTGAACAAGCCAGTTTTCAAAGTCCTTGTGAATTCCTGAGAGATCACATTTCATAGATGCAAATGCACAACTGAAACATTAAATACACTACAATGCTTAAAAACAGCAAGAGAACATCAAGCATTATTTTAAACTGGTGTCACTGATCTCATCACAATCCTTCTGATTCAACTCATATACAAGCCTATCCTGTTATCCATTTTAGAAAAAGAACTTTCAGATAATATCTTTGAATTTTTTCCTATCCATATCCTTATATTACATAATCTGATTTAATTTGTATATTATAACTGTAATGTTCTGATGTCTGATTTAAGTGACCAGGTCACATGCCTAAGGAGGACTATGCAGAACATCCCAAGGACAAGTGAGTACCATATGCACTTACTTTGCTCTTCTTACTGCTGGACATTTTATTCTTGATGTAGCTGAAAGTGCGACTGACTTTTGTTCCACTTTTCTCTTCAAAATCTTTCTTGGAAGGGCTTTGTGGAACAAAGCTAAAGGCCTGTTCAGTTACACTAAAAGAAAAAAAAAGTCCATTTTAAAAAGGGAAATAATATGTGATCTAAGCATCCCAATTTTTTTTCTACATGATCCTATTTTGTCACTTATTATTTTAACCACAGGTCAAATGATTCATAATCTTATATTAAAAAAGAAAAAGAAACAATCAGATAGGAGACAGGAGTTAGGGATATTTGCACAAAATGTTTAAAAATTAGGATAGAATACAGGCTACAGTGCCCTCCCGAGGAATGAATTCCTATTCTCTTATGAGCAATTAATATTTTAGTACTACTATAGTATAATGTAATAACTATTGCATTTATGTGGTACGGGTTTTTTTGGTTTGATTTTGTTTTCTTTTCAATGTAGCAATCATAGGTCCAGAGTCAAAAAAAAAAGTCTATTATAACTTATATAAAAATATATATTATTATATATAACTTGTATATCTTGTTATATAAAATATTATATATAACTTTATATAAAATACATATAATTTGTTATATAAAAATATAATGAGTCTATATTAAGTATCCTGGATTCTTCTTTGAGCTAATACTAATTAGGTACTAATTCTAAATATTATCTCTCAGACAAGTAAATGACAGTTTTTATTGGATTTTTATAGTTTATCCACAAGTATGGTTATATATAAAATACTGACAATCCTAGCTTCCTCTACTGGCTGTGCGACAAGGAGTTAATTTCAGTTAACTATCAGCCAGGACTAAATCCAAAATCTATAGGAATGTATTAAGCCTTGATGATAAAGGTTGAACCAATGACAGATTATATATAGTAAGCTTCCTGAGGGCAGGGATTGAAATTTGTACCATTGCTTTCTTTACAATGGGTGGAGCTGCTGACTGAAATTATATGTGATCATGTAAGATTTTTTTCCGTCAGAGTGAGACAACATTATGATACAGGTTTGAAAAGGGAAATAAGGAATTAAAAGGCAGTTCTTTATCTTCGATATCATCACATCAGATCCATGTCTACCAATAAATGGACTTTTTTACATCCCAGAGAAATTCACCTTGGTTATCCCCCAGTAGAGAATATGGAAAAAAACAATCCAAAGTAGCAACTATTCTATTTTGAAGGGGAAAAAAGTATAAGACCTTGCCCCAAGATGTCCCAAGACTCAGAAGAAAAACAAAGATTTCAAAGAAGATCAAATAGGAGCACAAAGATTTTTGTGTATTAGCAGTGAGCCATTATGAATCCTCTGTGAAAAGGAGATTTTGGTAAAACAGTTGAAGTTATGAAAATATTCTTAATTTTGTTGCAGTCAAAACTATTAATCTCAGTAATCTGAAAATAAGGATTAAAAAGCAAGCAGAAAGAACATTTTCTGTCTACTTAATAGTATGCAGTGATGTGTCATATTTTCCAGTGTATGGAAGCACAGCTATTGGAACTGAGAAATATAAACATTACAAAGTGGTAGGACCAATGTATTTACCTACAATAATTATAGAACAAAAACCTGTCAGAAAATTCTCTGCATGAATATTTCCACAGAACCTCATAAAAACAAAAAAATCAAATTTTGAAGACACTCATAGGTTTAAATGCCTCAGAATAAATTTTTTTTAAATAAAAAAAGATTTAAGGGGGAAATGTTGATGAAATTAACTAACTTCTACTACTGTGAATTATCATCTAATAATACATGTGGCCTGATTAGACAGACAACTGCTCTGAGCTGCCAATTCTTCACTGTGTGCCCCAAACTAACCTAATAACATCAAAGTTTCTGCAAACTCATTTCAGGAAAGGGGGTAACAAAAAGAAATATATAATACCTTTCGGTCAAATTAGTGCTGGTATTGTGGAAGGGTCGTGAATCTGAAAAAGACACAGGGAAGAAGTTAGAATACAAGATTTCTTACAGTTAATATGACAAAGACAGAGCCAAGGTGGTACTAGGAATTAGTATGTTGAAACTCCATATCTGTTCTAAATGTGTAAGGGGAAGGAATTAACCAAATTAACCAAAAGAATTCAAGCTGATGGCAATGATGAAGAGTGATTGCTGTGCACTGTCACCTACGACAAATGAATGGCATCGGAAAAAATACTTTATCAAGAAATGTTGTGATAACTTTATAATATAGATGTTAAAATATCTTCAGAAGACATGAAAACTGTACCTTTTATTTTCTGTAACAGGAAGGACTTACTTCTCTGTTTTTATTGATATTGAGTTTCTTAGAGGGCCACTTGCCAATACTGCAACTTAATCAAAGCAGTAGTTAAAAAACATTTTCTAGTAATATTCATTTGCTTCTGCTCTGTTAATTTTGCCTCCCTTATGTTGGAAATAATTTATCTCCTGAGCCTGTCAAGTACCTAGAATTTTAGAAAATATGGACTGGAAAAAAGATTGGACTATATAAGCCAGATGACCTGGTGGTTTTTAGCCTTGCTCTGCCATCAATTAAGACACATGACCATGGGGAAATCACAACCACTGAGCCTCAGTTTTCTCATCTATAAAACAGTATTCCTTCCACCTTATGATGAGTGAACAAATTATTTTTCCCTTCTCTATAAATGAATCAGGCTAGAAATCAAAGCACAGCAATGGAACCTCCTAAACTAAGTCAAATAGAAACACACAGAAATCAGAGCAATTAAAATACATACAAGCATTATTCCTTTTATTACATTTTTAGGGATGATATGGCATAAAGGAACATAATCACACCGTGCAAAGTATCATTTCAGTGTTTTAATGTAGGGTTGTATCGATATTTTTGGTATATAACACACTTTTAGTGGAGATAATATGCTCAGCCTACTTGCTGCAATAACAGGGGGATACACCTCTCAATTAGATGTCGAGTAACATTGTGCCAACTGAATCTTACCTCATTGTGAATGCAACTACTTTTCAAAGATTACTTAGGGAAAAACACCACTAGAATTTTGCTAGTCCTAATTCTAGTGTCTAACGTGCTCTAGGAACCGGATATAAAAAAAAAACCAAAATGTAGGAATGGGAAGACCCTGTACAAAGAACTTTTAAACCATTTCTAGACACCCAAGAGGTTTTTGTGCACACACTCTGCCTTCCTCCATTGAGGACCTTCCTATTTTAATGATACAAAATGTTATGAGTAGCAATGTGCTATTGCTGGAAGTACAATGGTTGAAGGAAGACCTAAATCCTACTCCCGGACTCCTCACTCTGCCCCACCCCTGGCTTCACTGTCACCTCTCTGGGCCTCAGTTTTCTCACCTATAAAATGAGGGGGGGGGAGTTGAGGAAGGGCAGACTACATTACATCTAAGATCCTTTCCAGTTCTACCATCATGTTACCAGATAAGCTAAGTAAGCAGCACTGTGGATTGGTTAATAATTTTATTTTGGAGGCATTAAGTAGCACTTAATATGCTGGTGGATCTTTTTTCTATTTTTGATAATAACATAGCTGTGTGCCACAAAAATGTAACTACTCTGGGGAAATCTTGGTTTCAAAAGATCTTGAAAATAAATGTTAACTAGATTGTCACAACTGCCTGTTCATGAGACTTTTTTTGGTGGTAGTGGGAAAGGATTTGCCTAAAGTTGTATAGTTATTAAGTGTGAAAGCTAGGATTCCAAACAGGATCTAAAGAGAGGTAGAACAAAATAGTAATAGCAGGTATATATCACTTCTAGTTTTACAAAGGGCTTTACATATATTTTCTCATTAAGCCTCACAACAACTTTGTGAGGAAAGCACTATCAATGTTATTATCACAATTTTACAGATTAGGAAACTGAGACTTACAGGGAATGTAACTGATTTGCCCAAAATTACACAATTATTATTAAGTGTGAAAGCTAGGATTCCAAATAGGGTCTCTAATGGCCCAAAGTCTAGTGTTGTTTCTACTATAATAAGCTGCAATGTTTAGTAGAGAAGACTTATGGAATAACCACTGTTACCAGCCTCTTCCACATATACACCTCCACTACCACTTTTTTCAAATTCTGAACTCTCAACGACTAAACTCCCTAACTAGGAGAAAGACTAAGTCAGTGATTACCAGAGAAAGAGAAACAAATTATCTTACAAGAAAGTTCTGTCGATAGAGAAATTTGGATAAGTCTGGATGATATTTAAATAATGTTGAAATTTAGGGTGAAGAGCAAACAAATCACTTGACTCAAACTGAAAGTCTTTTATTAAATTACTTCAAGTTATTAATGGGTTCTCCCAAAGAAAAGTAATCTTGGTATATTACAAACAGAATTTTTCCATTTACACCTCTCTTTAACAATTTATAATGAGACTCATACGGGTAAAGTGAATTCCTCCCAATTCACAAAGTTTGCTAACAATCTGAGGCCCTGTAAAATCTATCAACTAGGGACTATCAGGTACCTATTTACCTATCTGTAAGCTACAGCTTACCCACAGGACTACAAAGAAAAACAAAACCAAACCAAAGTTTTGAGAGAGAAAAGGGAAAAAGCAGCAGGAGAAAAATAAAAATGTACACCTAACAATTCAATGGTTCGATCCCAGAGCTAAGGTACTTTTCTTGAAATAGTCTCATGATGGGAAGGGAAAAAAGCCTATATTCTCACTATGGAAAAAAAAAACATGATAAGGGAAGGTGAACATTTTATCATTTTATATGGCTGAATAAAAAAAAGAACACTTTTGTGGGTTAGTACTTAGGATTAGAAATAAAAACCAAAGGACATTTAAAATTTACTTATTCCTCAATATCTCTGGAAGTATCTGGGGTTTAGGGAGGATCTTATTTCCCAGAACCTGGAAATGCCATGAAATTCCATGAAATCAATGAGCTATGGGATGAGCACCAGGACTCTAACTGTTTCATCTAATTTACAAAATAAAGCATGAAAACAGGTGGCTTAGGTAAACTTCCCAGACTACATGCAAAGGACAGGGTAAGGGCTAAGACAGCTCCTACTATTTGCTAAGTAATACAACATCTACAGCATTGACAAAGACGGCCAGTCCCTGCTGCACATTCAAGTTGCTTACTTACTATGCAACTTCTCCTCTTCATCACTGGAAGAAGAGCCAAGAGAAAAGACAGTTTTAGACTTAAGGAGAAGTGGAGAGATGCTGACGGAGAAGGAAATCCTCCTTGCTGGCTGTATCTGCTCCTGGGCCTCTGAGGAGTGGGTTAACAGAAGATATTAGAGCATGCGTAAAAACATGCAAAGAAAACTAAAATGCACATCCAAAAATAAAAGTGTATGAAGTCTGAAATCCAGGTAATTTAAAAAATGGCAATGGAGGACAAAGTGTGTGTGCGCATGTGTATGGATGTTCTTTTTTTCCTGAAATCCAAGGTCAACCCTCTCCTAGGCAACATTATGAAGGGATGGACTCATATTGTCTGAGTTTTTTTAAATAGTTACACAGTGGTTCATAACCTGGGGAGGGGGTCTATGAACTTGGTTTTTTTTTTAATATTTTAATAGTTATATTTAAAAATAATTGGTTTCCTTTGTAATCCTATGTCTTCTATGCAGTTAAAATATTATTCTGAGATGGAGGCTATAGGTTTCACTAGACTGTCAAAACAAATCAATTGTTAGCTCATGACATTAAAAGGTTAAGAAACTCTGAATTCCAGGTTTCATTACACATGGGGACATTTCTCCATTCTTTCACTTAAAATTCTGCCCAGCAGGGTGCTCTGTTATCTACTAAGCATTTGTAGGAGAGTGAGGAAGAAGTAAAGTCTCAAGGCAGAAAGATTTTAAGGTTCTTTGGGGCCAAGCAAAGCTAGAAAATGTGGCTGAAAATGCAAATCACACATAGGTTATATTAGAATTAAAAAGGAAAATCTCATTTCATGGAACACTAAGCAGTTAAGACTAGTGTGTTCATTTGTAGGCACATGGAGAAGTTAAAAAGTATTTTAAATAGTGTTAATTTGAAAGAGGTTTGCTACATGGCACTCTCTAAATTGGACTTACCTCTTTCCTTCAGAAACTGTTTATAAAGTCTATATGCATTTTGCATGTTTTCCATTCCATTCCAAACGTATAACACAAATGTATGTAGTTATGCATAAATATATAATTTACATATGCATACATACACACATGTGTGTATATACATAAACACGTGCACACACACATAAAACATATGCATGTATTGTCTATATGCAGGTATGCTTATATGTGCATGTACACATATGTACATATACACACATATATATAAAATCTCGCCTTAAAAAGTTTTCAAGAGTGAACACTTCTGGTTTTCATTGCTTCTACCCAGTTATCAATGCTTACATCTTCCAATTCTTCATGTAACTAGGCTAAAATGAAATAATCTGATCATTGAATATATATGCATTTATTAATATAAAAACAGAAAAAAAATGACATTAAATTTCTCATAAGGTTTGGTGTCTTTTTAAAAGGGCTCACTCTGATTTCTTGACCTAAAGGCTCTTATTTTTATTGTGTTTGTGTATATAAGTGGCTGGCATATATTCTATGTAAAGAAGATGGTTCCATTTTTGAGACAGATTTAACTGAATCAGCTAGTTTTCACAGCTTGATATCTGTGGTACACACTATAGTTACCAACTAATGTACCCATCCATCAAAACACACATGAGGAACTTTACAAGCTCCCACCTACAATCAACTATATGTAAACAACCCCTCAACGCAAGCCCTGTTTGAAAACTGTGCCTCATACAAGGATAAACCAAAGATTATCAGAAAAGCAAAATTATGAGAGAGAGAAAATAAATCTGGTTAGGAAACAAATTGGAAAGATCTGTAGTAACAGTAGTAGTAGTAGTAGTAGTAGTAGTAGTTGTAGTAGTAGTATTAATAATCACTAGCACTTACA